ATATATATACCCAGAGATGGATGGCTTGGTCAAATGGTAGATCTATTTATTTTTCATTTCTTCAGGAACTTCCATACTGCTTTCCATAATGCCTGCACCAATCTGTGCACTCATCAAGTGTGCCAGGGTTGCCTCTTTTCCACACTATCACTAACACTTGTATCGGCTATAGTTTGGATGTTGAGTATCTTCCAAAGATTAACAGTTTGTTCCCAGATTTGGCACTATTGGGAGGTGGTAGAAATTTGAAGAGGTGGGGTCTAGTGGGAGGTCTTTAGGTCACTGGGCGTATACTCTGGAAAGACATAGTGGGACCCCAGGCAAGCCGTTCCTCTCCCTGTCTTTTGCTTCTTGGTCAGGAGGTGAGTGGGATTGCTCTGCTATATCCTTCAACACTCCCTAGTGTGCCCTAGGCCCAAAGCARCAGGGCAACTGATCATGGAGTTAAACCTCCAAAACTGCAAGCGAAAATAACCTTTTTCTCTTAAAAAGTTGATTATCTCAAGTGTTTATTATTTTAAAGGAAATTCAACACATTATATCTTATCTTCTTGTTAATAGCTATCCTAACAGGTGTGCACTGATGTCTCATAGTGACTTTGATTTTCCTTTCCCTGATTATTAGTGGTGCTGGGCACATCAGTTTCTTCTGTTTGTTATTTATGTGTCACATTTTGAAAAATATCTTCTCAGGTCATTTTCYCATTTTAATTTGTATTGTTTTTATTTTTTGCTACTGAATTTTTTGAGATCCCTCTGAATCTAGAATATTAGCCTCTTATYTGATATATTGTTTGTAAATATTTTGTACCAATATGTGAGTTGCCTTCATTTTTTTATTGTTTTTTTTTTACTAAACAGCAACTTTTTAATCTGATGCAGTCACATTTAGTTAGTTTTGCTTTTAGTATCTTTTTTTTTTTTTTTGGTGGGATATCCAAGAAACCATTACCAAGAACAATTTCTAGAAGATTTTCTCCTGTTTTCTGCTAGGCATTTTGCATTTTAAGTATTATGTTTAGGCTGCTGATTCATTTTGAGGTAGCATTTTGTATGGTATAAAAGAAAGGCACAATTTTATTATTTTGCCTATAGAAATATAGCTTTCCCAGGACATTTTTTGGGGAGACTATCATTTGTCCATTGTGTCTTCTGGTGCCTTTGTAGAAAATTAGTTGGGTCATATAAGTTTGGATTTATTTATCGGCTGTCTATTCTGTTGTACTGGCCTATGTGTCTGTTTTTATATCATGTACCATAATATTTATACCATACCATTCTGTATCCTTCTGTTCTGATTACTATAATTTTGTGACAGTTCCAATTTTAATTTTGTTCTCAGAATTGCTTTGGTTATCAGGGTCCTTTTGTGGTTCCATATGAATTTTAGGATTTTAAAAGTTTCTTTGAATAATAACACCACTGGGRTTTTAAAAAATTATTTTGTTGGTGTATTGTAATCTTACATAATAGTGGGATTCATTGTTTTCTATGCATACATRCACATATCATAATTTGGTTAAATTAATTTCCCAGTATTTCTCCCTTAACTTCTTTCCTCCCCCTAATCTATTTATTCTACTATACTGGCCTCCCTTCTATTTTTCTAAAGTCACCTTTCACATTTTCTTCATCTTCACTCTCTCAAGCTTCCACATATGAGAAAACAAATATGATCCTTGACTAAAGGAGTTTCACTTCCTTTACTTAACTCTCTCAAGTTCCATCCATTTTCTTACAAGATGACACAATTTCATTCTTCTTTATGCCTGAATAAAACTTCACTGCGTATATACCATATTTTTTTTAAATCTTGTAAGTTATAAGGTTATATTATCTTCAGCACAGATAATTTGACTTCTTTTTTGTTGGTTTCTCTTTTAATTCCTTCATCTATTGCATTAGTCTGTCTGAAGTTTAAAATAATATATTGAATTGACATGGAAATCATCAGGGTCCTTGTCATAATCCTGATTTTAGAGAAAATGTTTCAGTTCTTCCCTATTCAGCATGATGTTGGCTTTGGGTTTGTCGTATAACATATTTATGACTTTAAGATAAGTTTCTTCTATTCCTAGTTGTTTAAGGCTTTTTGTCCTGAATGGTATTAAGTTTTGTAGAAGGCTTTTACTGAGTCTATTGAGATRATCATGTGATTTTTGCTCTTGATTCTATTTAAGTGGTGTATTACAAGTAATTATTTGTATATATTAAACCATCCTTGTATCCCTGGAATGAAACCCACTTGATCATGATGCACAATCATTTAAATTCTTGTTGAATATATTTATTCATATATCATTAAGAATATTTGTATCTATGTTCATGAAGGATATTTGTCTGGAATTTTCTTTCCTTGAAGTGAACTTACCTGGTTTGGGTATTCGTTTTTTACTGGGTTCATATGATAAGTTGGGAAGTTTTCCCTCCTTCCTATTTCCTGCAATAATATGAGGAGCATATATACTATTTCTTCTCTAAATGCCCAGTAGAATTTAGCTGTGAGTCATCTGATCCTGGACTTTCTTTATCCAAGGTTTTTTTTTTTCTGCATCAATCTTATTACTTACTATTGGCTTATTTATTTCTATGCCCTCTTGGTTCCATTCCAATGTGATCACAGTGCTATGTTCAGTTCCTAACACTTTGAGAGGAGATAATAATCATTAGTAACTTTGAGCACTTTGGAGCAAACCCATATACTAATAAACCATTTTAAAAGTTAACAGGAAATGACCTTGACATTTCCAATAATCCAAATGTGTATGGGTGGAATAATACTCTCAACTGGCTGAGAAATTAGGCATTAAAGAAAATAAAATGAATAAACTCTATGGGGAATAAATGTGAAAAAAAGAAAGGATAAAGACAAATAAATGGTGGTGGGAGAGACAGAGTAGATAATAAAAGGAGAGACAGAAACTAAAGAGAATTTAAAATAGATAATGAAAAAACTATAAAGATAAATCCAATTTGCACATTAAAATATAAAGGAAATTTATAAAATTGGATTAACACATGCAATATCAAATGACCTACAAAATCTACCTAGAAGATAATGACATTGGAGGTGGTATTTCAGAGTCTTAATGTATTCCTTTATGAGTTGAAATGGAGAGATTTCCAATTGGGCCATCCAGACTTGGATCCTATAAGATTATAGAAGGGTCATTAAATGCCCATGCCTCCTTGGTTTGTCTTCAAAGTTTTTCTGGACATAGAGGTGGAAACTATACCAGTGATGTCTCCACTGAGTTGGGAAGATTAATATTTAGTTTATCCCCCAGAACCTCATTCTGCGCAATCTCAGAGGATCCCTCTACTCTTTGGAGTGAGGGCCTGAGAACTTATTAGTCTTTTTTTTTTTTAATCAGAGGAAATTTCTCCTAAATATCAGTGGTTTAGCAGCCAAGTTGCTCCCTGGTTAGTACTGCAGCTTTGTGTACCCACCTACAGAACTTCTTTTATAGGGCCAGAGATGCCAAAAGAGGTGTGAGTTTTCCCATGAAGATTTTGAGGTGTGAGAGACATGGCAGCTTATGGAAGATGTACAGCCACTGGGCAGCTGTGGAGCTGGGTGACGCATGATGAAGGCATAGGATAGGTGGACATGACTGGTGGTACATGCAGCAGTGGGCTTATGGGTCACGCATGGTGGCAAATTGATGTTGGGTTGTATGTGACATTGGGCCACTACCAGCTTCAGCTGGCAATGGGGGCCCAGATGGCTGCAGCCAATGGCTGACACATGTGCTGGGCTATTCCCCACCTGCTGCTCTCCCTGGCAGTGTCTTGCACTTTGTTCTGCTCCACTCCTCTCCCATTACCAATGATGAGGGAAGAGAATGGTCAGCCCCCTTCAGCTAACCAGGATCCCACTACATAGTTTAACCAGATTGCTATATCAATGGCATTCCATGTAATATAATTTGCTGGTATCTCTAAGTGGGATGAAGTAAAGATATACTTTCTTCCAGCACTGCAGACTGAGGCATGATCTCTATAAAATGGCTAGCCATCACAGTTTTCCACCAGCAATTAGAGAGAATCTGGGCACTTCTCACTCACCAAGTGGCTTTTTAGCTTTTCTTTAAATTTTAAATCTTTTTTTATGTATATTTTATTGGTGCATCATAGATGGTGAGATTTACTACCTAATTGCACACAATATAACAATATAATTTGGCCGATATTGTTCCCTGCAGTGTTATCCTTTTTCTTCCCCTCCTTTACCTCCCTGGTCTTTTCCCTCTACTAATCACCCTTTGATTATCTGAGATATCTCCTAACTTCCTTTTCCTTCATCCTTTGCAATAAGTAATATAACCATTGATTTTCTGACATAATTTATATTTCTTTATGGAAAAACAAAATTCCACAGTGAATCTATTAATTCATTGAATGACACCTAAGCTGGTTCCGTAGTTTGGCTGTGTTGTGTTGTGCTCTTATAAACATGAGTAAGCATGTATTTCTATAGTATGATAACTTTGATTCTTTAGTATTAAAATACATGGGGTGGTAACACTAAGGTGCTCTAAACAGTTGACAAGGATGGATGCTCATTGTCTGTATCTAAATATATTTTCCAATTGAGTGAGAAAGGTGGGATATACCAGGGCTAGGGGTTGTTAACCTCTTTCTCTTTTTGTGTTGTTTGTAGAGCTACTAGTTGAAAGTGACATAAACCTGAAGCTGATTGAAATAGCTCTCAGCTTCTTTTTTCACTTGTTTAAGGTAGGAATCACAAAAAGTCAATCACAATATAGACTACCTATATTATAAAAGTAATAATAAAAAGCTGTTTTGAAGGATTTTGATGAAAAAACTATGTTCTGATAAATGCAGCTTACCAAACTTGATCAAGAATAAACAAAAATGCAAAAGTAATCCTCTATTAAATAAGGAAATTAAATTTATAATTAAAATGTTTTCTACAAAGAAAGCTTCAGGTTTTAATGACTGCACTGGTGAATTCTATAAAATGCAAACGACTTTAAACATAAAGATTTAAGCTTCAGTAGAATTTTAAGCCCAGATAAATAGGAAGATACAATAAACAGAAGTCAATGAAATGCAAAACAACTGATAAAGTCAAAGCTATAAGGTGGCACTTCAAAAACAAACTTCAGAAATGAGAAGAAGGGAAGCAAGTGAAATAGGGCAAAAATGAGGTGCACTGAAGCCAGTCAGGAACAGATGAGAATATAGAAGCTCTCCCTTGTCTTTCAAGGGCAGCCAGGGTCTTGAAGGCCAGAGAACTCACCTGGACCCTCAAGTCAAAAAAGAACACATCCTTCTCTGGTGTGCAGAGAGGCATCAGAAGTGTATGCATCCAACATGAGGTCTTGTAGATATAAAAGCTCCCACATCTTTGGTTGTCCAGAAGGGGATATGGGAGGAAATCTACAACCTCTGTTACTCCCACTCTGGGAACCTCAGTTGTAACATGTGGGGGTTGCTTCCAAGACACTGAAGGGCATGGAGAGAGGGATTTGAACGTTTTAACTCCTGGCTCTCTGCTTATGAGGTTGTGAGTTGCAATGGCAGTGCTTCTCCTGCTTGGTTGTCCCCTGCTACTGCTTCAACTAGTTGTGGTTCTTTCTCTCTCTCTTGTCCCTATAAGTGTAGGGGTGTTTATAGTGCTCTGTTTTTTCTTGCCTTTAGCTACTTTATTATACCATGTTAATTATTTTTAACTGTATCTTTGTAAACAGTCAACTAAACAAATACTCAATCACTTCATTTTTTGGGTTGCTTTTTTTCTTCTTAAATATGCAAAAAAGAACAGTTTTGAAAAGCAAGTAACATAATGACAACCTGGGAGCTGGGTGTCCTGGCACATGCCTATAATCCTAGTGGCTCAGGAGCCTGAGGCAGGAGGATTGAGAGTTCAAAGCCAGCCTCAGCAAAAGCAAGATGCTAAGCAACTCAGTCAGACTCTTGGTGTCTCTAAATAAAACACAAAATAGGGCCGTGGATGTGCCACAGTGGTCGAGTATCCCTGACTTCACTGCCCAGTACCCTCCACTCCCCCTCCCCCAAATAAAATAAAACCTGCGTGTATGGCAGCTAAGCTCTTGGTGCAATTCCTGCATGTTACTGTGCTCCTCAAATGAATGTAAGTAGCAGTGTTCTCCCTGTGATGATGAACTTGAATGTCCAGAATAAGGGGGAGAATGTAGGTAGATGGATCATAAGGGATAATGATTTGGAGAAGCTCTCTGAGAACAAACACAGTCAAACATGCCAGCATCCAGTTTTCACAAAGAGGCATCATCTCTTCTGCCTTTCCCTAAGGAAAACCCATGACCCCCTGCATGATGCATCATAAGGTAGAAACATAGAGATATGAACTCAGAAAAAAATATTACCAATCATTGGAAACAGGAAAGAGTTTAGAACATACCCCTACCTTTCTTCTATCCTCTGTCCACAGGAGGAGAGCTGATCTGTGCTGAAGGGGAGAGCCTTTCTGGGATTAAGTGACACCAGAGAACTCTTTCCTGTCTTCTAAATCAGAAGATGCTTACAGGAGCTGGAGGAAAAGGCAATGAATAAGAAAAGCTTATCAAGATGCTGAATAGCCCTTCCTTTGATTTTCTGCAAAGTACTGTGGGCAAACAAGAATCCAGAGCAGTTTAAGATGTGACCCTCAGAGAAATGTTTGTGGGCATCTTCACAATTGCCACTCATGTTCAGCCTCTCCCATCCAGCCTTTTCTTGTTTACCTCTCTCAAAGAAATTGCTATTGTGGCCCTGAAATTTCCAACCATGAAAAAACACTTTAGTGACAATTAGGTAGAGAAAACTCCAGGAAGTAAGAGGATAGAATGAGATTTAAGGGATAGTCTCATTTGTCAAAAGAATTTTCCTTTCTTCCTTCTCTGTTTGGTTTGGCATGTCAAGAGGGTGGTTTCTGTGGCCCTTATGAGTTGGGTATTTTCATCCAAGTTTCTGGTTGAATAGAGTCAAAAGGAGATACCACCCAGGAGAGTAGAGGACAGGAGGATAGGAACTTGTGTTTTACATCTCCTGGATCTCTGTCTGAGTCTCTGTGTTGGCAGAGACAGTGCCTCTCCATCTCTATGCTCATTCTCTCCCACCTCTGCAGCTGCCCTGTCTCCTCAGGGTTCCTTCCCTTGTTCTTTCCCTGTTTCTCATGCACTTGTCACTTTTCCTTAACCTGCCCATCTTTGTGAATACTTCTATCATAAAGTGCTCTTCAAAAATTCAAATTTGTGTCAACAGTTTCTACTTGGGATGATAAAAACAAATAACTTTAAAAGGCAAATTAAACAAGTGAGACCTGAATCTTCAGCAGTTCCACTCTGGGATGAAATGCAGGCATGTCACTTGGCCCCTTAAATGAATGCAAGAGGCACAATTCCACCCGTGACAGGAGATTTTAATGTTTGGAATATAGGGCAAGATACGGGAAGATGGAACAGCAGGGAGAATAATCTAGTTGACTGACTTTGAGGGTGCCAGCATCCAGTTTTCAGAGGGAGGCTTCTGTCTCTTGCTTTTTCCCTAAAAATCAGCATGACTTCCTGCATGTAGCACCCCAAAGTAGAAACACAGGGATGTGAACATAGAATGAAGAGTGTAACTAGAAATAAGAAAATTCTTGGTGTCTATCCACGCCTTCCCTCCATGTTTTTGTTTGGAGGTGAAGAATTATTCAGTTTTGAGGGAGAACAGCCTTTCTGACTTTGAGAAATTGCAGAGGACCCTTGTTTGTCCTCAATTTCCGAAATGTCTACAGGGGAAATGGAGTGAAACTGGTGGCCAAGTGAACCCATCACGATGCTGGACCACCCAGTGATTTCCTGTACCAAGACTTCAAAAACCACAGAGACCCGAAGTATTGACACAATTCCACCCTGAGGTGTTTCTTGGCACCTAACCAATTTTCACTCACACTTCACCATCTCCCATCTCATCTCCCAGTCCACCTCATTCTCAGTACTTTTACTCTGGAGCCTTTATTTTCCATTTAGCATTGTTAGTAATTACTATAAGCATTCCTGAAAGTAGTGCTATTTTGGGGCCTAGATAGGAGTATCAAGCAATGTAAGTTTTCATTGTGGGGCTTTCTAACAAATAATAAAGTACAATACAAGGCCATTCAAGGATGACTTTTTTATTTCTTTTATGTTTTCTTAGCAAAGTATTAATGCATTCAAGTGCACACTTTCACTGTAGGTGGCAGAGAAGGGACTACATGATCAATTTCTTCTGCCATTTCCGTCTATCCTGATCCAGTTTTCCCCTTGCCTCCTCAAGGAGATGATTGGACTGCTAATAGGTTACTTGCATGGTAAGTTGGAGTCATCTGTTCAAATTCCAGGTATTTGAAGAAACTTTATCTACTCAGAGCCACATGTACACTCTGAGATCTTCCCCTTCTCTACTATCTTTTCTGTGTTTGTCAATATTATCAATATGAAAGACATATGTAAGAGGATCTTTTCTTCCACTCTCCACTGTAAACTCCTGAGACCAGAAAGCAAATCTCATTAATAATAATAGCCATCATTTATGCATTGACAATACTGATGCACGGTACATGCCATGCCATCTTCCAGAAAGAGCATCACAGCCACCCTTCTCAGTTGCAGGTAGATGCTAATAGGCCACTAGAAAATTTAACATAATGAATTTTAATATTTCATCAGTTGGAAACTGTTTGCTGAAGTTGTTTCCCATTATGAGGAATCACCTAGTGGACATGCTCATAGCTCTCTCAACCATGTGTTCACTCTATCTGGAAGGGTGGGTGTGTTATTCTTCCTCATCTTGGAAATAGACAAGTTACAACTTTTAGATCAGCCCCTCCTGGGAACACCCTTGTACACCCCCAGACATCTCTATGACTGCATGTGTCACATTGGGTGGCATTCTTTACTACACTAGACTCCTTCTTTTCATGGACTATGAACTCCTTGAGGGTGGGTTCATTGTCTTTGTATCTGCAGTGCCAGGCATGAGGGCTGGAACATGGAGGATGCTAAATAAGTACTTACAGAATAAACAGACTGACTAAGTGATGTCACAGGAAGCCCACTTGATGACACTTTGAGGACCACAGCTCTGTAGGTTAATTGCAAATGTACATTTCATGATTGTAAGATAAATTTGTAACATAAATGTTTTACTTTTTACCTGAATTAATTCACCAAAAAATAAAGAAGAGTGAACAAACTGTTTTTTGAGTAGGGTTCAGCAAATAGATTTCTAACCTCTCTATCTTTCAAGAGTCACATTCCTCAAACATTTTCTATTATTTGAAGTTCAGATTGTTTACAGTAAAGTTCTTACCCTTGTAGAGAGAGCAGTGTGCACAAGGATATTTTTAATTGTTCAGAATTTTTTTCATCATAATATAGTTTTCAGGCTTGCAACTATTTTACTAAAAATACTTTTGAATCTACCTTTTAGTTTTTTAACATTTACATTAGCTTTTGTCTACTTTTACTTTGTTGATTTAAATTCTGTTATGATAATATAGGCAGCAATATTGACAAATTCAACTGGCATAAGCAGAATTAGAAACAAGTCCATGTTGTCCTTTTAAAGCAGAGAACTAAGTGCCCTAAGGGTAGAACACAGGCGCTCTAAGGTCAGTCAAAGGATGTGAGGACTCAGCATTTCTAGGAATCAATCAGTGTATTTCCTAGATGGAATGCAGCATCTACTAGACAGATATTTATTTAAAAGTTGTTTGTTATGCA